AAAATATAATAGGACTTTACCATCTTGAGGGTGTGAGTGTGAGTGTGAATGTGAGTGTGAGTGTGAGTGTGAGTGTGAGTGTGAATGTGAGTGTGGGTGTGAGTGTGGGTGTTTCTTTTCTAAATTGACACCCACACCCACACCCATCGTTCCATGATTTTTGTGAAACATGATTGAAAAAGTGTATTGAAGTTTAAGAACAGAACATTGATATCCCATATCTCGTTCCCGCTCACTTACCAAACATTATCAATTGCTATTAATTAATTCGTACGAAATATACTTTGTGTTCATTAATATTAATTCACTTTCTTGCTAGCAGACATTCGTTCTCCCTAAGTGTTTACAGGAGAAAGTCTCCTTGTGTTCCAATAGTTTAAAGTATCATTTTAGATTGAATCGTGTATTCAACCTAAATTAGATATTTACTGTACAAGTGTGGTCATGGTCGAAGGATTATCTAATGATTTTCGTGAGTCAATCAAACGACATAAAGAAAGAGTAGCTCTCATATGGTTTCAGTCTTCTCCGATTATCAATGCTGAATTTAAACAAGCGAAAGACCAAATACAAGCTATCCACAACTGGATATTTGATTATGATAATATTGAAAGAATTGTTACCGATTTGCAACAGATCGATTTTCGAGCAAAGTTTTTTCTCATTACTTCCGACGATGATGCAGTGGAACTCCTTCCAAGGATTCACCATATTCGTCTATTAGACTCTATATTTCTCTTTTCGAATGATCGAACTCAAGACCAACATTTCTTGGATCGATTTGATAAAATTGTGAACACATTCAGTCGTTGCAATGACCTTGTCACCTCAGTAAAAGAAAATCTTACGGATGTGGATAAACACATTGAAATATTTTCTTTCTATAATCAACATCAGCGGGCAATACAAGATTTATCAAATGAATCCGCAAAATTCCTTTGGTAATGTTCTTTGATTGAATATACTTATTTCGTGTATAATCTCGTTTTTCTTCTAGGCTTCAATTATTCAAGGATGTTATTCTTCATTTACCTGAAGATGATGAGGAGGCCAAGGAAGAAATGATCGACGTTTGTCGTCAATATTATCAAAACAATCGACAATTTCTTAAACAAATCGATGAATTTCAGGAAGATTATCATCAAGATGCCTCTATCGATTGGTACACGAAAGATGGATTTATTTATCGACTGATTAATACAGCTTTGCGAACAGAAAATATCGAGCAACTGTACAGATTTCGATATTATATTACTCATCTCTCTAAACGACTTCGAATTGAATATCGAAATTTTCGAGCAAGTGACAAAAAGATGATCACCTTATATCGTGGATCGTGTGTGACTCAAGATGAAGTTGAACAACTCCAGGCAAATATAGGTCAGTTAATTGCTGTGAATACCTATTGGTCAACGAGTCGAAATGAAACTGTTGCACGTACATATATTGCTGATGATCAAAATGATGCCGATCTAGTTGCTGTACTATTTAAAATTGAATGCAGTATACAAGATCAACAAAGTTCTGTGATTTTTGCTGATGTAGCCGAGTATAGTAAAATTCCTGACGAAGAAGAAGTTCTATTTGACATCGGAGCAGTTTTTCGAATCGAAAATATCACATGGGAAGCACTCAATAATACAGAGGTTGTCGTTGTACAAATGAAAACAACGAACGAAGGCCAAGATATTCTTGAAGAATATCAAAACCAAAACCGAGAAGAAATGAACGTGGAAAGTCCAACGATCATGTTATGCACAATTCTGAAACGAATGGGAAAATTCGATCAATCTCATCAACTTCTTCAACGACTCCTCGATCATCCGAATGGACAAAATCTAGTTCATATTCACAATCGTCTTGGCATTACCTACAAAGATGAGCGTCGATATGATCTTGCATTGGAGCATTTTGAGCAAGCACTGCAACTAATCAATTCTTCGGATCCATCTCAACGAAAGTATGCCGCTTTTATTCATCATAACAAAGGTTTACTTTATGCGAGAAGAGCACAACTCGATGAAGCACTCGAATTCTATGAGTACGCGATCATAATGCTGAAAAAGGAGATAAGTACTCCGGACACCGGCATTGCACAATTTTTAAGTAGCATCGGACGCATTTATTTCCACCAGAGAAAATATCAAAAAGCACTTCAGTATCAACAGGACGCATTACAAATGAGAGAAGAATGTTTACCAGCGGATCATCTCGTTCTCGCGTTTAGTTATGCAGATATTGGCAATATTTACCGACGTCAACGTGATTATGAACAGGCATTGCACTATCACAAGAAAGCCTTGGCTCTTCGACAGAGATATTTACCAGCCAATCATCACAACACGGCATACAGCCTTCATGAAGTTGGAAAATTTTATTTCGAAATGGGTGAGCATGAGCAAGCTCGTCGATATTATTTCGACTCCCTGGAAATAACAAAAAAATGGTTGTCGATCTCTTTCAAAGATTCTATTCCATCCCTTCTGGAAGATATTGCCAAGACCTACGATGTCTCTATGCCTGAAGAGGCACTTAGATATCGATTGGAAGCATTAGAAATTCGATGGCAAGTTGAACCTATAAATTATTCTAGATTGATCTATCAACTCGATCAACTTGTTGCAACATATGAACAACTGAACAATGTCGATGATTCACTCAAGTATGCTAAACAAGCATTAGAAATTCAAAGAAGCATTCAACCCGATAATTATTTGGCTGTTAGTCAACGACTCGATCACCTTGGTTTTATGTGCAAATTAATGCGAAATTTGAACGATGCACTTATGTATTATGAAGAAGCTTTGGACATTCGAGCAAGACATTTACCCGATGAACGTTGGTATTTGGCATGCAGTTGGAAGAATGTCGCTACTGTTTATGAACAAATGAGAGACCATAGGCGTGCTCTGGACTCTTATAAACGAGCATGGACTGAATATCATGTTAATTATCAACATAAACATAGCTTTTGTCAGGAAATGTCGAGAAATATCGCTCGTGTCAAACGTTACTTATGAAACTAATCGATACATTTGTATTTAAATAAACATCAACACAAGAAATTAACTTTCGTAATCGACTCATCATAAGAACTGATTTTATCTTAAACATTCTCCTGAGGGTGTGGGTGTTATATTATTTCATCATCCTTTTATTTACGGTTCCCACGCATCCACCCACACCCACACCCACACTCTCTTTAATTATATTCAGAAATAAATAAATAAATATTTATATTATTCAATTAAATATTTTCAATAGAAACTACAGGGGAGGGTAGGGGTGTGGGTGACTTATGAGATAAAAGGCACTTACACCCACCCTCAAGATTAATTGTAATTAATCTATAGATTTTTACTTTGTTTGATTTGAAAAATGGATTTCTTTTAACATTTCTAAAAAGAATAAGTAATCAAAGGGCAATTTCTGACATGTAGATAAGGTAAAAGGTTGAAAGAAAGTATAGATATATGGGCATAAATTATTTTGAGATATCATATTACGAGGAGCAATGATGTGAAGACAAAAAATCAATTACATAGATAAGCATGAAGGTATGAATGTAAAACGATTTATTTCTCGATTTTGTATGTCTCTATTTAGAATATCGTAGTGATGTTAATACAACTGTATTTACTTTTACTTTTACAAATATTTTCATGTTTTTCTATTGAAACTAAATCTAAATTAAGTTTTGATGAATTTTTTAATTATACAACGTTTCCATTATTAAAATTCTCTTCAACAGGTCGACATTTATTGATTCAAACGAAACGTCCATCATGGAATACTAATTCCTATGAAAATACTTTATGGCTTTATGATATACAAAATCAAACAAAAAAATTCATTACAACAAATCTTCGTACATCAATCCAACCACAATGGTCACCAAGCGGTAACTACATTGTATTTTTATCGAAAAATCATACGTCAATAAATAAACAACAATCAGAAGGAAATATTTATTTATACTCTCTTGGTTCAGATACAGTGTTACCGATTCAAATTGGAAAAGAAACGCCTTTAGCTTTGGCATGGTCGAACAATGATTCATCTATTTATTTAGCTGTAAAATCGATTGATGAAGAAAATTATTTATGGAAAGATGTTATTCAATATCGAGAAAATGTAATACGTAAAACTAGTATTATCTATCGAATTGATTTCAATGCAAACAATCGTTCATTACCCGTTGAAAAAAGTCTTATTCGAAATGTATCCTTTCTCATTAATCAGTTATTATATACTTCATTTGGAGAAAAACTCATCTTCTCATCGGCGTCTGCAGTGAGAGAAAATTTAGATGATTTTGAACTTTATTTCATCGATTTTCGAAATATATCTGCACTATCAAAATTGACAAATAATGAGATTATTGAAACAGCATTACAATTGTCGATCGATGGCCAGCATCTATTTTTCTTATCATTGCATCGCAGTTCGAATAAAAAACTATTTAATGATACACAAAATCGACTTTATTCAATAAATTTAGCAAATGGAATAATAACACGTTTTGGAGAACATTTTAATGGTAGTATCAATGGATACACAATAGAGTCTGATGGTGGAGTTTATATACTTGGACAATTAGGAACAGAAATACAAATTTATTCACAGAAATTATCAACAAAAGATTTAATTTATCATAATGGATGGAATGGAACATATGAATCAATTGTATCATCATATAATCATCGATCAACTGCATTTGTTTATTCATCATTAGAAAAACCAATGGAAGTTTATTTCGTTGATAATATTAGTCAATTAATATCAGCAAAAGCAATCACCAATGAAAATTATTTATTCACTCAAAGAAATTTACCTAAAACGAAAGTATACAATTGGAGAAATGAAGACGATCATCGAATAATTGAAGGATTATTGCATTATCCACCGGAAAAGTTTCAATCAAAAAATCTACCTCTCTTAGTTCTTATTCATGGTGGTCCATATGCGGCTAGTTTAAATAGACTTAACCTGGCTTGGAATAATTGGGCTCCACTAGCAGTTTCCGAAGGTTGGTTGGTATTCGAACCCAATTATCGAGGATCGACAGGTTATGGTGATCAATTTCTCAGTGAAATTCGTGCTAAGCCTTTATCTCGGCCAGGAAAAGATATCCTCTGTGGAGTTGATCAACTAATTAAAGATGGAATTGTTGATCCATATAAACTTGCTGTCGGTGGTTTTAGTTATGGTGGATTTTTAACAAATTGGTTGATTACACAGACTAAACGTTTTAATGTTGCTCTATCAGCGGCTGGTGCAGTTGATTTTACTTCCACGTGGGGTATGATGGATATACCCGCACTGATCAGCTACCTCTATGGAGGATTTCCATGGGAAGTGCCACATATTTATCAAAACGAAGCGCCTATTTATCATTTAGATAAAGTCCGTACACCTACACATATTGTTACTGGTGAAAATGATGTTCGGGTTCCAACAAGTCAAAGTTACATATTAGAACGAGGACTTCGTTACCTTGACATACCAGTGAAATTAATTACTTTTCCAAAAGAAGGACATTCATTGAGTATTAATCCTTGGCATGGGAAAATAAAGGTTAGAGAAGAACTCAAATGGTTACAACAATATGGTAATCAATCATTGAATCGTGACAAATCGAATAACAGTGAAAGACAGAACTTTTCGTATGCTTTACAATTATATATGTTTTTCTTTTCTTCGGTAATAATAAAGAATATTTGATTACTTCGAGATGAGGAATTGCTCGATTTTATCCGAGTCAAAATTAGAGATGTGCAGGGTAAGTATTTTTTATACCCTGACCCTACCCTATGAAAATTTCTTTTACCCTGACCCTACCCTACCCTACTAATTGAAATTTCTTAATCAAAGAATGAGTACGTATGATAAATAACTTTTTTCATTTTATTTCCAAATAATAATTTTTGACTAATCAATACATTTTCTGAAATTTCTTAATAACAAAATATCGTTCACAGCATCTTCGTTTAAATTTTGTCTTCTTTCTTCTAATATTCCACCACTAGCACCGAAAACTCTTTCGCTCTTTTGTTGTGGTTAAAGTTCCTTTTTTGAGTTGACGAATTACTTCTTTTTTTTGTTTAATGTGAGCTCGAGGAGATTTTGTTGACATATTCATACAGGCAAAAATATTTAATTTTTCAAAAAAATTTAGTATTATAAATAGTGAATAAAGGAATTTTTGCGCGAGAAAGTATATAAACAGGCAATTATATTCTGATCTGTCTTTTGATTTGTTTTTCTTTTATCTAGTATATCTGTGCATTTCTATCTTAAAGAAGATTAATATATGCAACAGAAAGATGTCGTTCCATAGTGATATATCTAGTTAAAAAAACCTTACCCTAACCCTACCCTTACCCTACGACTCTCTTACCCTGGCCCTACCCTACCCTGCACATCTCTAACCCTCAGTTTCTAGATCTTGTTTACATGTCTCTTCAAAGAATAAGATAATAATTTAACTGCGATTAGTTTTTGTGTACGTTCATTTTTCACGAATCAAAGAGTGAGATATGTAAGTTCTTATCTAGTTTACTGTGGTTTGAAAATTAAAATATAAGCAAGCTGTAATCAAAAATTTAATTAGGTATCAGAAAATCAGGGAATATTTGTTTGACTTCGCAGAATATGTCAAAAAATTAAAGTATGTATCATTTCTATATATAACCATAATGTCCACCTTTGTCTTTAGCCGACATTTCTTCTTTTGACATAGACGGCTTGATCTCTTGAATGACCGATAGACTCATTACTGGTTTGTGTCGGTTTTCAGTCGAATAGATACCATGAAACCCACCGACGATATAACATTGCGTCACCTTGCCACTTTTTTCATTTTCAAGCTTGACCGGAACACGAATATTGGGCAGTTTTATATCATCTGGATCACGAATATCACCTGACTTTAAACCAAATAACTGTAAAACCCAACCAGTAATCAGTTTTCCGGATCCTCCACCGCCATAATCCAGACCCATGTCACGTGTGATGTCACATATTTTGATCCAAAATTCATTATTCACATTACCTTGATAAGTTTGAATAAATTCCTTAAATATGGGTAAAACAGCTTCTATATAGGTGCGAAATTCGCCGTTACTAAATGATTGTAATTGTTGTGTCTTAGCATAGAGCGACTGCCAGTCTGCAAGAGTACCTATACAAAGACATGATCATAAAAATTATCTTATATTCCGTCAATAGAGATATAGATTGTATTAATATAAAAACAATGGGAAAGAATATTTAGGTGCTTTTTTTATTATTGTATAAAGTTCTGCCAATTATCGTTCTTAGTCGATTTCTCTCTAACATATACTGAAACATTAAGTAGGACTAAGAGATCAAATTTTGATTTTAAATGAAACTTTTAGTTAAAACAAATAAAGACAAACTATCTTGAGGACGATCAAGCGACAGCACTTACCCATAAAATGCACTTGTCGAATTCCACAAATACACTCCATTCGATTATAGTCAAAGTAAGGTTTGAATGCATGCATAATGCATGCAGCTGAAAGAATCGATTCAACTTTGCCTGTAGTTGTAAAATCAGCGGTCAATACACGACACACATCACCTTTAACATTTTTCGCGATCTTCACCTTCATCGCATCAAAAAAGTGATCCCACTGATTTTCACTCTGGAAGTCTTGAACAGTCAATTTTATTTTTCCTTCTTCATGTTCAACAAAAAGTGAATGGAGTTGCTCAGAGTTTTTATCGACATATTCAGCAAATTTCATGCATACAACCATCCACATATCGTCAGGCGATAGAACAATGTCATGATGTTGATTGTAAGCCGAAACAAATGCTTGTAAAACAGCATTCGATGACGTTTCGGTATGCGGTCCATTGGCAATTGTGTATAAGGACGAATAGTTCTTAAATGATTCGTCAATAATGTCGCGATTTTCCTCGACTTTACCAAGCCAATATCGTTCCACGGACGACTGTGGTTGAACAGAATGAAATTTAACCTTAGCTGGCT